TTTTTTTTAGTTTGTTACTCAGACGCAGGCAGTGCGCTGCATGAGACAAAAAAGTAATATAGCCAAAACAACGGCATACCCGCTCTTTAGTGTAGATGCATGTTGATTTTATCAGACGCTTATAAATGAGAGTGACTCCTGGTTAACATGTATTAAAAGGGGTTGTGTTTAGTCACTATTTAGTGTGGTATTTTTTGACGATATTCACTCATCATGACAGTAAAATAGGGCATTCTAAGTCAGTATACTGCAGTATTTCCTCTCTCAATCAGTAGAAAATATGGTTAACACCCGGTCATGCATGAAAAAAAAAATACCGTCATGTACCGTGAAACCGGTATAATTTTGAAAAATACTGTGATATAAATTTTTGGTTATACCGCCCAGCACTACACTCAAGCCTAGCCAGCTCAGAAGCCAAGTGGAACAACACTTCGTCCTCCAAACCTTTGTTCATGTTGGAATATGTCCTTTGTCTGACACAAAGCAGATGTTCATGTTTTGCTGTACCATTTGATGCCAAAAATTTGGTAATCCTAATATTGGTGTTAGTAGGATTTAGCCTAAACTAGCAATATAACTAGTAACTGTGTAACACTTCAAAGTTTGAGACTCTTGATTGAAGTTCATTTTCGTGGATGGATTACTTTCCAGAGTAGGTGCACGACTGATATGATGTGAATAGTTTCATGCAAAAAGTAAGACTTTTAGCTGCAACTAAAGGTCTGTATAATATCTATAAGCTTTGGTTTGAGTACCAAAGATTTAGGCTAATTGCTCTCAGCATTTAGCACTGATCTGGGATATTTTTCCGGTTTTCATGTCATTAAAAGCATGATTAAATCTGGGAACATCTGCATTTTATCTGGGATAGTATAATTTATCTTGTATTTCAGTAGTCGCATTCTTCATACAATTTCATTATGTGAGTATGTGAAATGTCATGTGTTTATTTCAGGATGTTGGTGGACTGGTGGACTACCATCCTCACGCTCGGGACTATGGTTCCCATCTGTCCCATGGATCCCTGGCCCAGCCTCACCGCCGCAGACCATCCCTTCTCTCTGAATTTCAGCCAGGCAGTGAAAGGTACAAAACATGCACACGAACAGACAATATGTTGTGGCTCCCAGAGCTGCCTTGCACTGAGATCTTGTCTATTCAATCCTGTCCATTTATGTCCTTCAGGCTAGCTGCCCATTTTGCCCACAATCTATTGTTGAGCCTTTCAAAATTATGGCAGAAGGCTGTGACCGCAATGGCCAACATTGAAGGAAACTATCACTCTCTTTTAAGTTGCTGCTTTAGGGAAGCATTTATTAGGCCTGGACATACAGCGGTTAAAATAAATATTGAACACGTCACCATTTTTCTCAGTAAATATATTTCTAAAGGTGCTGCTGACATGAAATTTTCAACCAGATGTCGGTAACAACCCAAGTAATCCATACAAAGAAAACAAATTAAGAAATTAAGTTCGGTGTAATACTTTTTAATTTAACTCAATTTTAATGACACAGAATTTAAAAAACACAAGCCAATAAAATAACCACACTTTTATTGAAAGAAAATTGGACAGAAAATATATTAATATTAAATATCAATGTATTATTTTTATTCCGTTCTATGCAACAGAATCAGACATAACTGTTGTTGTTGTTGTTTTTGACTAATTATCCAACTAATGTATAGTCCTGCAAACAGGGTTTTTCCTTTCTCAAAATGCGGACGGATGTGGTACCATCCTAATCATGTGCACACAATGTACCCTGAAACAAACACTTTTTACACGCAACATATTTTAGGTGTTATAATAATTATAGCTATGATTAAAAAAAAATGACAGTTATAACGTTATGTTTTATTTTCTCTCACCTAATGTTTTATTGTTATTTATTCTTAAAATATCCTTATGAAATGTTTTCTTTTTCCTCAGAAATTCTGTGTTGTGTATCTGGTTATCAAATGAAGGCATAAAACATTAATATCATTTATCTTTAAATTATTGAGAATTAAACTTTTTGGCAAACAAATGGGATTTACTATTAAAATTAAAACATGGAAGAAATGTTGTGTGATCATTCCTTAAAAAATAAAGTTTTCATAATTTTAGTAGTAGTAGTAGTATGTTCATTCTGCTGAACAATAGTAATATATTTCTGCTGCAATGTCTTCAAATTAAACCAGACTTTTATTTTGACGGGTTGCCGTGAATGCCTTTAAATTTCTGTGTGTATATGATATGACGCTAGTTTTACTCAAAGTGAAACGCTCATGAAGTGACTCTTCGCAGTTCTGGAGTTGTTCGTGTGTTTATGTCCTCATTGAGACGGCAGACGCTGAAATCACCGAGAGCGTCACGCGCGCTTCAGTGTGTGTGTGGTAAAGGAAAACGCGCGTCTCTGCCATTAATTCATTCATAGAGATATGATCGTGTAATATGAGTTAATGCTCATCAGATCGCGTAAATCAGTGGGAAATGAATATAAATTATGATTTTGTGTGAAGAAATATCAAGTAAACATATATAAAAATATAAGCTATTATTATCAGTGCATGTGAGCAGAGGACTTTGCTATTTGAGCTGGGTGTGCTGAACCTGAAGAGCTGAATGAACACCGGTAAACTGAAGTGCTTTGCGATCAGCTTATTTAACTCAAGGAAACGCATCCTATATGAGATTAATCCGATATGAAACACAGAAACTAAACAACGTTTTATTATAATAGTGTTCTCATTATAATGTTATATGAATGACAATCCCAATCATAGTTATTAATGTTGTGCACTGCTGTTTGAGCTGCCATGCGCTGAGCTAAAGATGATCACCGGCAAACTGAAGTGCTCTATTATTGCTCTATTAACTTAACCAAACAAATTCTATATGAGATAAATTGTGTATATATATATATATATATATGTATGTATATATGTATGTATATAAACAAATATTGTGGGAAAAGAGAACATCATTGTGGAGAAGATGTTTACGTCAAAACTGAAACCAAGCCGTTCACACAGAACGCATATTTATCACATTTTCTAGAGGGACATCTAT